AACCGCACCCCAAACCGCCCGCGGAGACCGTCCATCTCCATCACATAGTCATGTAGCTTTCTTTAAAGCCTCAAAGGTACAAGTGTAAAAAATTCAAAACATTGAGTACATGCATGAAGACACGTGTTCTATGTCTTTGCTGGACAAACTTTTATTGTATGTCGCCATTTTTCTATAGATCGATACATTTGTGGCAAATCGACACTTTCTTGACAAATTAGTATTTTTATGGCCAGATTGATTGTAATTTTTATTTTGATCTTATGTTTTTTCTTCTTGGCACCAACATCTTTGATACTATTCAATATCCACACAAAGATCTAGTTCAATCACTCTAAACATTTGACAATTCAATCAAATAACACCCTTTAAAAATTATGAATAAAAAAAAAAATTAACAAGACAAAATCTAGGGCCAAATGCCAAACATAAGAAACAAAAAATTAGTCCAACCGCTAAAAAAAATTGAATTTAATGGCTAATTATTAATTATTAATTAACAACTAATAATCAATACCTAATTAAAAATTTAAAAAAACACACTAGACGAGAAAGAGAAAAGGGAGCAAAAGCAAAAGCGACAGGCCTTCACGTTGCGGGCATCGATCCCCGCGTGACACGTGGCAGACCTACAGGCGTCGATCACACGCCTACGTGGCGCATCGTGATATTTAGCAACAGTTAACAAAGCAAAAATGGAAAGCAAAAGAAAAAAAACAGAGTCCAATGCACTGTTTAAATTCATCACAATTTCTTACCTGTTTTGATATAAGTTTGTGATAGGATATTTTGGTTTTAATTTGTATTTTGGTTAATTATAATTAATTTTGAAGTAAATTATTGGATTAAGTTTGAGTGATATTTGAAACTTTATTATAAAATATTTTAATAAAATGATTAAGATTAATTTGATCTAAAATAGGAGAAATATGATTAAGTGATGATCAACTAAAGATTACATGAATGAATGAATAATGAATTATAATTGATGTGACGTTTTGCGATAGATTGATATTCTTTAATTATATTGATAATACTAAAAATACTAAAATTGAGTTAAATTTAAATTACAACTGATAAAAAGTGATTAAAAATTGTTTGAATGTTTTATATCGAAGCACACAATAAATAACTCAATCTCATCGTTAGATAGACCAATTTGTTATTTTATTAAACAAAATAATATATACACTATGAAATGTATTACTTTTATTTACGTAATATCTATTAGATTTTAATTTATTAACGAATATTGATATTATGAAAATATGAAATATGTATATTTGTCTTAACATGAGATGAAATTTCTTATTCCAAAATTTATGTTCCAATTCATATTTATATATATATATATATATATATATATAAATGTTTGATTATTTTTAAAATAGTAACTATTTCCCGCAAAAAAAATGTTGTTTACTAATTGTGGAAACTATTTAAACATTTTATGTTATGTTTTAAATATACAATTTAGGTAATTGCAGATGATTAATTAAGGTAATTTTTTTTTTTTAGTATCTCAAGATACTCATATAATATATTTGTACATATATATCATAATTTTATACCAAAAATATCGCGATCTATCACATTCATAACAAACATTAGATTTACTTATATATTTTTAAATTAATCACATAATAAATAATATTAATATACATTAAATATTTACCATTATATAAAAAAAAGAAATATTACTTTTATAAATATTATAAATAATATTGACATTATATGACAATAAATTTTTGAATAAAGTAACATGAGTTATGATGAACTAAAATATGTAAAATCCTTATTTTTTGTATGAAAAAATAAATATATATGTTCAAATATTATTTATATTAATATAGACAGATCAACGGACTAATACATTATTAAAATAAAGTTTTGTAAAAGTATTTTACATTTCGAATCTTCGTGCATCGCACGGAATTTTCACCAATAAGTTTTAAACATTGGATGAAAATTTTTATTCTAAAATTATATTCCAATTCATATTACATTCCTTTTTAGATTGTGACATGAATTGGAATAAAATCTTTTCCACCAAACAGTAATTTTAGCGTTAATTTTAAAAGTGACTGACTGCGAAATCGAAAAGACTCGAATTAAATTACCGTAAATATTGATTTTTACAGAGAGAGAGAGAGAAAATGGCAAGAGAGATATAGAGCGAGAAGCAAGGCGCGGAGGGGCCGTCCGAAAACAAGAGAGAGAGAGAGAGAGAGAGAGAGAGAGAGAGAGAGAGAGAGAAAGCACGCTGTATTTTCTTCTTCTAATTGCGCTTAAAGCTTTCCATTTTGTTTTTCTTCAAGGCTCCCAATTTCTAGGGCACAATTCAAGATTGAGAACCGCGCCTCGATAATCTATAACGCAATTACTGTGTTGTTTGACTGACATTTTGGGTTCCTCTGCAAAGGAAAATTGATTTATTTATACGCAGAGAGAGGAAGATCGGATTATTTGGTTCCTCAATCGTAAATACGCCTGCCCGTGTACACAGATCTTGCCGCTTGGAGCTACAAATTGCAGCCCGATTGATCACATTTGGTTTTTGTTTGCATTTTATTTTATTTTTTAATTTTTTTTTTGGGTTTATTTATGTGAATATATTTCGGAAAATGAGCTGGGAAATCCTTCTAGAGAGAATCTAGAAGGGTTTGGATTTTGGATCTGATCGGTGTTGTTGGGAGACGGCGAGAGCCTTTGGCTCTCGGATGAGAGAGCTGTCTCGTTTTTTGTATTTTTATCATCATCTGTTGTGTTGGGTTGAGATTTTGGATTGTATATGTTTGGCCAATCAAGGAAAACGATGAAATGGGGAACATTGCTTAAAGACTTGAAGGAAAAAGTTGGTCTTTCCCAGGCTCCGGCAGCTTCGGCATCTACTCCGCCGTCGCCGCCCGTCAAAGAAAGCAGCAGCAGCAATGCGAACGATTTGTCGCCTTCCACCCCGGACTTTTGGTCATCTCCTTCAAGGTCGGATTTTATTTATTATTATTTTTTTTTAATCTCTTTTTAATTTAAAGTTTACACACCGAAGAATTTTCCAAGACTGGAACTTGGTTTTGCATTTTGCTCCGATTAGTTTTAGGTTATAATGTTTCTGTATGGGGAAGAAAAACAGGCAAACAACTGTTTGATAAATGAGCTCAAAAGTAATTTTTTGTCAGCTAAAGAGCTGCTTGGCTATATGCGGTAATTAGGTTCAATAGGTGATGAAAGACTAATTGCAGGAAAACACGATATTTCGATGTTCTTGTATGTGTAGTTAGGGAGGGGACTGTAGATGGACTGTGGTGTCTATGACATATAGAGGCAAAAACTTAATATTATTATTTGATCTGTTTTCTAGTGAATAAAAATGTTTATTTTCAATATTTCTGTATGCTATCGCTACGAATTTCCAACTGGAGAAGTATATATTACAAATGTAGTGGTTTGTTGAATTATAAGTAAGGATCAACTTTTATAACGTATTGAGACATATCTCGTACTTAACCCTACTTGCCCTTTCTTGCTATATTTATATGTTTTATGAATTAATAACTGCATTTTTTTTGGTATTGTCCTGATGATGAAGATGGTGAGAATCAACCTTTCAGTTGCAGCACAGTGATTCAAAAATTTTGGCTGATATGTAGATTTTACCAGTAGCGCAATATAGTGTTTCATTAAAAAAGTGAGATATTGGAAGACCTGGTTTTCAAGAAACACCTTGTTTTTGAGATTTTGTTTCCACCTAGGAGTTGGACTGTCATCTTTATATGCATGTATCCAACATTTGACTTTACAGATTGCAATAAATTCACGACTCAGAGAAGTGCACGTGCTATAATACTATATGTAGATAGCCCTTGGCAAGTTAGTTAAATTTCAATGTATACGTGGCTGAATGGATATAGACAATGCGTCATAGTTTTCTAATAATGTTTCAAGCTTTTGGATCAGTGTCTTACTTCTAATGCAGATGTGATTTAATATTTTCTATCATTTTGTTTTGGTATTGGTCAAAACAGAGACAAACATGAATTGGAACTGGATTTCAAGAGATACTGGGAAGAGTTCCGGTCATCTAGTTCTGAAAAGGTATTGTAAGATGTCTTGCAAGGTCGTTAAAGCTTTACATGTATTTTTCACTGTTATGTCTGCTTCTATAACCTAATTACACAAGAATGACATACTTTTACTGCTTTTGATGTATACATCTTCATGTTTCCTACACCTGCAGGATAAGGAGAGAGCCTTGAATTGGACTGTAGAAATATTTTGTAGATTAGAGAAGCAACACACAAATGTTGCCCAATTAATTTCAATGTAAGAAGACAATTTCGTCTGTTCTGCGCATTGTCACTTTGTACATGTTTGAAATACATTAATTGGATGCTTAGTTAATATGTTCGTTAAAATTTTCTTATTTGTTAGGTTCTAAGGACCAAATTTGAAATGGTTTATCTATTTACTTTCATGAAAAGTTCATAATGGTGAAATGCAGCAATATCCCATGGACCAACTTGTGAATTTGTTATTTAGTTTTTATCAAAATTCCATTTAATTACCAGATTATTCTTTTCCCTTTCTATTGGCAATTTTACTTTTAAAGGTGCATTACCAGACTAAAGTATTATTAGACTTTATCCATGAGAAGTATGTCAATTTACATATCTGTCTTTCTCTGGATGGATGTCTTATTGTTAACCTTTGTTGTGAAAATCATATTTTTTTTTTTATCGCATCATTCCTTCAATTACCGGATAATTCTTTTCCCAGTCTGTTAGCAGTTTTACTTTTAAAGGTGCATTACCAGACTAAAGTATTATTTTTTAAGACTTTATCCATCAGAAGTATGTGAATCTACATATCTGACTTTCTCTGTATGTCTTGTTGTTAACTTTTGTTGTGAAATTAATATTACTTTCTGATGTCTGAATTGCAACTAATGCAGCTTGGTAGAGACACACATTTTTTCTTTTGTTGTGGGGAGAGCATTTGTAACAGATATAGAAAAGCTGAAGCTAAGCAGTAAAACAAGATCTTTGGAAGCTGAGAAAGTTCTGTTGTTCTTCTCAGAAACTACAAAGGTATTCCGATGCCGGGCACAAAAAGTTAATCGCCTTTACTTTAGATCTTTAAATTGTACGTTTTCGCTGTGACTTATGGCCACAGTTCTCTGCAGGATGGCATTAGACCCGGTGCGAATTTGTTGCATGCAGTGGAAGTCCTTGTATCTGGGGTTTGTGCATCAATACCTATGAATTTCTATTCAAGAACTTTGCTATCGAAGTCTTTTTATAGAAATTCTGCAAATTCAAGTTTCCTTACTTTAAATTTCTTAAGTTGGCATGATGATATTGGCTTAACACCGCGAGCAATCAATCAACAAGAAATTAAAATCCCAATAAGTGGGTTCAGTTATATGGATCACATGTCGCCATCGTGCTCGATCCAAGCACCTATCCTCATTCAAATAATGGAGAAAATTTAATTTGAATTTTCCCCAATTATAAGGGATTCCATGCAATCTTCAGTCTTATCTGTATTATTTAAATGAAAGAAGATTCGGAGATGATCTATTACATTTCACCATTTTATGCTTTTCCATTTTCTGAAAAAAGCTGGCAATATTAGGATTCCTATATTGGAGGTCAGGTGTCACAATTTGATGGCATTATGTATTCACATTTGAATTCCTTATACCTGGAAGTTTCTCTATTTCTGAAGCACCGACCATGTTTTATCATAAGTAATTATTTGTCTCGAGGTTGTGGATAGGTGTGCTCTGTTGATTCTAAGTTGTTGAAACTAATAGGCTACAATTTTTCGCTCTGTGTCAGTGCATCTCGATTGCTCTTCTTTGAGTTACTTCATCACTTTATTACTTTTTATATTTATGCATTATTATGTGCTGCAGCTAATTGATAAACAATCGTTCCTGGATTCTGGGATCCTATGCTGTCTCATTCATGTCTTAAATGCCCTGCTTGCTCCTGATGGGGGAAGTCATTCCAAAAAGCCAATGAACAATAAATACGTGCCATCAGTTGATGAAGCTAATAATGCTGAATCAAGACCTGTTCGCCGGCTTGAGGTGATCTTAGTTTGTTAATTGTTACTTTCACGTCGAACTATTTTCCCACCTGGAAGGCACTTTATCTATGTCAAATTTCCGGTGATATTTACCAGTGGTAATGCATTTAAAGATCTTTAACCTTCAACTATACGTTTATCTTCTGTTTTCAGATTTTTATTTTGTAAGTGCAAATATCATGTGATTTGCTAGATAGGGTTGCTTTAACCCCCCACTGATTCGTGCAACTTTAAGAAGCCTCTACTTCCTCCACTAATTTAGCACTATTTGTTTAAGAGTACCAGATGATTATTTTATTTTCTGGTGAAAATGGGCCCACCTGAAATCGAGAAAGGTAGGTTTTGTGTTAACCTGCATATCCTAAAAAATTGTAAATTACTTCCATAAACTACTTGTCAATAATTGTGAATAACACAATTCTGGGGCCTTGGTGCAGAGGCACAGGTGAGAGCAGGCTGTGTGACTTAGAAGGCTATTAATGTTAAATAAGTCTGCACTAACTAAATTACTACTCAACTTTTTTTTAATAGTTACGGGGGGGACTGGTGCAAGAGGGGTCTAAATTTGAAAGAATCTGCGAGATACAGGGGTCAAACCCTGGATCAACTAATGCAACAACCTAATAAAGGGTGAGAGGTACCACTTGAGTAACAAGAATGTTGAAAAATGAGGAAAGTTCACTCCACCATGACCTTCACCAGTGCTCCACCTCCCTGGGTCTTTATCACCCAATATGCTTTTGATTCTGTCTGGTCCTACTGCACTTAACATTACTAATCATGTTTGAAAAATTTTATGTCATATTACATTCCGTTGTCGTGTGTGCTTTGATTTCAATACATTTTCATGCTTGGTATATCAAAAGTTCTATGCCATTTAAGTTTTGAGAGTCTGTCTTTTTGTAAGCAGTGTAATAGTAATAGAGGAAGTGTCACATTTGATTGTTAAAGTTTTGATTTCGTACTTAACCATATGCCTGTTATATGATTACAAACTTTGACCTCTCGTATGCATATCAGGTGGAAGGCAGTGTTGTGCATATAATGAAAGCATTGGCCAGTCATCCGTCAGCTGCTCAAAGTTTGATTGAGGATGATTCACTTCAGTTATTATTCCAAATGGTTGCTAATGGTTCTTTAGCAGTGTTCTCTCAATACAGGGAGGGTCTTGTTCCTTTGCATGCCATTCAGCTTCACAGACATGCCATGCAGGTAAAAAAGCTGTTCTCCAGCTATTAAATTTAAAAGAGTTGTTTGTACAAGATGGGTGAACTGAAATTCCTTTGTTCTTGCAGGTTCTTGGTCTTCTTTTGGGAAATGACAATGGTTGCACTGCCAAGTACATACACAAGCATCAACTGGTACATAAACATGATCATACCTGTATATGTGTACTGATCTTGACATGTCTTTGCTGTTAACCTTATTGCTTCTTTGAATCAGTTACCAATAAGAATGGCATTCCAGGCTTCATGTATGTTTGGTCCCTTTAAATTATGTTTTTCGTTAGTAAATGAACACTATTTGAATTCTCTATTTCTCTATCCAAGCTGCAAGTACCAAGACTTGATTTCCTGTGTTGTAAAATATCATTTCAAGCAACAAATAAGCTTCAAATGAATACTAGTTGTAACATAGCTTTTACAGAATACTAAAGCGAATATTTCCTGGTGAAAAGTTAATAAATGCCTGACAAGCAAGCAACATAGTCCCAACTAGAATATGATTAATATAACAAGACTTAACTCCTTTTGCTTCTATGATACTTGATCTGTGAGGAGTCTAAAAACATGTTATCAATAAAGATAGATTAGTTGTTCTATTCAGTTCAATCATGTAAGTTCTTTTTGTTGTTGTAGGCTGTAGGTACTCCTGTGTAATTAATAGCTAGGGCGTAATTGGTTCTTTAAGTAGTGTTCGTTCTTGTTGCCTTCACTTGGCTAGTTTTTTTAATTCCCATGTGACTTGAAATCTACTTCTTCTAGATGATTCTTATTTATTTATTTTATACTGTGGCAGATAAAAGTGCTTCTGATGGCTGTCAAGGATTTCGATCCGCACTGTGGAGATCCTGCCTATACCATGAGCATTGTGGACTTGCTTCTTGAATGTGTTGAACTGTCATATCGACCGGGTAAGATAGCATACTAGTACTGGTGCTTGAAATGGTTATTTTACAACAGACACATTAAAGCACTGGTTCTTTAATGTACTGAACTTTTAAATTTCGATACTCTGATATGCTTTATGTCTACATGAACTTGGCGCTGTGCATTCTATATTATAGCATTCTTGGTTGGTAGATTATGATGTTGATTTTGTGTAACTTTTGCATGTAGAGGCTGGTGGTATCAGACTTAGGGAAGACATTCATAATGCTCATGGGTATCACTTCCTTGTCCAGTTTGCTTTGACCCTGTCAAACAATAGAGATGGCCAGACTTTCAATTCCAGAAATTCTGATGATTCTGCCCCAGACAGTTTAGATGCATCCGAGGTGATGGATATAATGAACTCAAGAGAAATTGAAGGAAACAACTCACAACCAAGTCTCTCCCCCACCCTTTGTAGACTTCTTGACGTCATCATTAATTTTGCCCAAACAGGTCCCTCAGAGGCTTCAAAGAGTTATCAATCAAAGCCTAATGGGCATGGCAGAAGCCGTACTTCATCCTCTGACAGGTTAACTGATGATATGTGGGAGAAGGATAATGATAAAGTCAGAGATTTAGAAGCTGTTCAAATGCTGCAGGATATTTTAATTAAAGCAGAAAGTACAGAACTGCAGGCAGAAGTACTGAATAGAATGTTTAAGATGTTCTCTAGTCATCTTGACAACTACAAGTTGTGTCAGCAATTGAGAACTGTTCCTCTTTTAATCCTCAATATGGCTGGTTTCCCTTTGTCTCTCCAAGAGATAATTCTGAAAATTCTTGAATATGCAGTAACTGTTGTTAATATCATCCCTGAACAAGAGCTGCTCTCACTTTGTTGCCTACTGCAGCAACCAATATCCTCTGATTTAAAGCATACAATCCTGTCCTTTTTCGTGAAACTCTTATCATTTGACCAACAGTACAAGAAAATCCTAAGAGAAGTTGGTGTGCTGGAGGTTCTGTTAGATGATTTGAAGCAGCACAAATTTTTGATGGGCCCCGAGCAGCTTAGTGGTGATGAAAGTCAGCTGGATCGAAAAACAAGCTCCAGTGGCTTTCAGAAGCACTTGGACAGCAAGAATGCGATTCTCTCTTCTCCGAAACTCTTAGAATCTGGTTCTGGGAAACTCCTCCTTTTTGAAGTGGAGGGGACAATATCAGTTTCTTGGGATTGTTTGGTCTCACTATTGAAGAAAGCAGAAACCAATCAAGCTTCATTTCGTTCTGCTAATGGAGTGGCAATTGCACTTCCTTTTTTGGCTTCTGATATCCACCGGCAAGGTGTCCTTAGGGTATTGTCTTGTTTAATTATTGAGGATGTCAAACAGGTATTAAAGATTTCTTCCATCATTTTGTTTTTTTATTTCAGTTTTCTTATTGCTTCCGTCCTTGCTTTGTATCTTAGATTCTATCCTGGTGGAAATTAGATAGTATTTTTTCCTTACTCTCCTTGTTAGTTCTGGTTGTCACAGATAATTGTGGTACGGACGTTGCTGAGAGTTAGCCATCAATACTTAGAATGGTCCCTTAGGAATTTGCCGTGCTATTGTGAACTTGTGTGAAGTGTTAATTAGAAAGTCATCTTTATATGCCACATTCAATGCAGTCTTATCATCTTTTCTTCTCTAGGAAAATTCCTATAAATCCATGTCAGGTGCATATATTATGGGTTTATGTATCCTCTACTAGTGTTACATGGATAATGTTTTGTTAACTTATTCAAACATTTTTCAATTAGAAAATTGAACTTCCCTTCGTGAAATTTGTTCTAAGGCTCAGTGTAACAATTAAGTCATATTTTGTTTTATGACTTGTTTTGTTTCAAGGAACATCTATATGTATTCTTTTTCTTGAAATCAATTTAGTTTTAAATCTAATAATTATGTTGCCGAACTTTCTATTATTTTCAGGCTCATGCGGATGAGTTGGGTGCTGTGGTTGAAATATTGAAAAGTGGGATGGTTACTAGTGCTTCGGGTTCCCAATACACTTTGCAAGATGATGCAAAATGTGATGCTTTTGGAGCTGTATGGCGCATATTGGGGCTTAATATTTCCGCTCAGAGGGTTTTTGGTGAAGCGACTGGATTCTCACTTTTATTGACTACACTTCATTCTCTTCAGAGTGATGGGGAGCAGACAATCCAATCATCAAAATCCCTATGCGTGAAGGTGTTCACATATATGATGCGTGTAATGACAGCTGGGGTTTCAGATAATGCTGTTAACCGGACAAAGCTGCACATCATACTATCTTCACAGACCTTTTATGATCTTCTATCTGAGTCTGGATTGATTTGTGTAGAATGTGAACGTCAACTTATACAATTGTTTCTAGAACTTGCTCTGGAAGTAGTTCTTCCACCATTTTTAGCACCCGAAGTTGCAACAATATCTGATGATGTTGGAAATGAATCAGCTAGTTTTCTTTTGATTACACCATCAGGCTCTTTTGTTCCTGACAAGCAACGGATTTACAATGCTGCTGCAATTAGAGTCCTAATGCGCGCTTTGCTACTTTTCACGCCGAAGGTGCAACTAGAATTGCTAAACCTTATTGAAAAGCTTGCTTGTGCTAGCTCCTTCAATAAGGAAAATCTGACTTCTATAGGTGAGAATTTGCTGAAAGCCTGAAAATAAGTTCCATTTTGTCCTTTTCACTAATTCTGATAATCATGTGTAATAATTTTGTTCAATGCTTTAAGGTTGTGTGCAACTTCTCTTGGAGATTATACATCCGTTTATGTCTAGCGCTTCACCTTTGGTTTCTAATGCCCTGAAGATTGTGGAAGTTCTTGGTGCGTACAGGTAATGACAGTTATTAGTGCTCTTTTCATATTTTGGTATCCTTTTGGTGCATTGTTAAAAAAAACTGTATTGATTTGAAGATACCCAATTCTTGATTGGCAGGTTGTCAGTATCAGAACTCAGAATTCTTATTAGGTTTATTTTTCAAATGAGACACGCAAGTTCTGGTCGTTGTCTTGTTGAGATGATGGAAAAGTTGATTCTTTCAGAGGATATGGCTTTAGAAGATGTTTCTCTTGCACCCTTTGTAGAGTTGGACATGAGCAAGATGGGACATGCTTCCATTCAAGTGCCATTGGGGGAAAGGTCATGGCCTCCTGCTGCTGGTTATTCGTTTGTTTGTTGGTTTCAGTTCCGAAATCTTCTAAAATCATCGGCAAGGGAGACTGAAGCTCCTAAAGCTGGATCTTACAGAAAGCATAGTCCCAGTGGTCAACAAGCCCAGGTCCTTCGAATATTTTCTGTTGGTGCTGTGGATCATGGCAGCAACTTCTATGCTGAACTTCATATTCGGGATGATGGGCTTCTAACTCTTTCAACAAGCAATTCATCCTCCTTGACTTTTGCTGGTCTGGAAATGGAGGAAGGCAGGTGGCATCACCTTGCAGTCGTTCACAGCAAACCAAATGCTTTGGCTGGATTATTTCAAGCTAGTGTTGCTTATGTGTATCTTAATGGAAAGCTAAGGCACACCGGGAGACTTGGATACTCTCCCTCTCCTGTTGGAAAATCTCTACAGGTAACCATTGGGACACCGATTTCTTGTTCGAGGGTTAGTGATTTGTCGTGGAAACTCAGGTCATGCTACCTTTTTGAGGAGGTACTCTCACCAGGTTCCATATGTTTCATGTACATTCTCGGAAGAGGGTATAGAGGTCTTTTCCAGGACACAAATCTGTTGCAATTTGTTCCGAATCAGGCATGTGGTGGGGGCAGCATGGCTATTTTAGATTCTCTAGATACAGAATTGCCTCTGACATCTAATGCACAAAGGCAAGAGAGTACTGGCAAACCAGGGATCTCGAAGGTGGATCACAGTGGAATTGTTTGGGATTCTGATAAATTAGGAAATCTGTCCCTGCAATTGTGGGGTAAGAAACTGATATTTGCATTTGATGGAACTAGTACAGAAATGTTTAGATCATCTGGAAGTTTATCGATGCTGAATCTAGTCGATCCCCAGTCTGCTGCTGCTTCTCCTATTGGTGGTAAGTAAATAAAGGAATCTTTACTCTATATCGCACTTTGATTGCTATACTTTAGCTAATTATCATTTTATTATTATTTGTTTTTCCTCTGGAAATTTTTCAGGAATACCTCGTTTTGGTCGACTTCAAGGTGATATTTATATCTGTAAGCAGTGCGTAATTGGTGATACAATCCGCCCCGTTGGTGGCATGGCTGTTGTGCTTGCACTCGTTGAGGCCGCTGAAACTAGAGATATGCTTCACATGTCATTGACGTTGCTTGCATGTGCACTTCATCAGAATCCTCAGAACGTGAAAGATATGCAGAAGTACCGGGGATACCACTTGCTAGCTCTTTTTCTTCACCGCAGAATGTCATTGTTCGACATGCAATCACTTGAGATCTTTTTCCAAATCGCTGCTTGTGAGGCATCTTTCTCCGAACCAAGAAAGGCTGGAAGAGTGCGAAATGCTCTATCACCTGCTTCCACCATGAACGAGACCAACTTTGAAGAACTTAATTTATCGAAATTTCAAGATGAATTTTCATCAGTTGGATCACAGGCGGATATGGATGATTTCTCTGTTCCAAAAGACACTTTTAGTCATATTTCGGAGTTGGAACATACTGATGTCCCCACAGAGACATCTAACTGCATTGTCCTGTCTAATGCTGATATGGTAGAGCACGTCTTATTGGATTGGACACTCTGGGTTACAGCTCCAGTCCCAATTCAAATTTCTTTACTTGGATTTCTCGAGCATTTAGTTTCGATGCATTGGTATAGAAATCACAACCTTACGATTCTTCGCAGAATTAATCTTGTTCAACATTTACTCGTGACGCTGCAGAGGGGTGATGTTGAAGTGCCGGTTCTCGAAAAATTAGTTGTGTTACTGGGCGTGATTCTGGAGGACGGATTTCTTCCTTCTGAATTGGAACTCGTGGTCAGGTTTGTGATTATGACATTTGATCCACCTGACCTAACGTCACATAGTCAAATTACGCGTGAACCAATGGGTAAACATGTTATTGTAAGAAATATGTTGCTTGAGATGCTGATCGACCTCCAGGTGACCATCCAATCTGAGGAGCTACTTGAGCAGTGGCATAAAATTGTTTCATCTAAATTGATAACTTATTTTCTTGATGAGGCTGTTCATCCTACCAGTATGAGATGGATCATGACTCTTTTGGGCGTGTGTCTTGCATCTTCGCCTACATTTGCACTTAAATTTCGCTCAAGTGGTGGTTATCAAGGTTTGGCGAGGGTGCTTCCAAGTTTTTACGATTCTCCTGATATATATTACATTTTATTTTGTCTGATGTTTGGAAAGCCTGTATATCCAAGACTCCCGGAAGTTCGCATGCTCGACTTTCACGCGCTCATGCCTAGTGATGGTAGTTATGGAGAATTGAAATTCATAGAACTTCTCGAGTCTGTTATTGCTATGGCAAAATCAACATTTGACAGGTTATGCATGCAGTCGATGTTTGCGTATCAAACTGGCAATCTTTCTCAGGTCGGTGCTAGCCTCGTGGCTGAGCTTATAGATGGGAATGTAGACAATGCTGGAGAGCTCCAAGGTGAAGCTTTGATGCACAAAACTTATGCGGCTCGCTTGATGGGTGGAGAGGCATCAGCACCTGCAGCTGCAACTTCCGTTTTGAGATTTATGGTCGATCTTGCAAAAATGTGCCCACCCTTTTCAGCTGTCTGCAGACGTACTGAGTTTCTTGAAAGCTGTATTGACCTCTATTTTTCCTGTGTGAGGTAAGCATATATATATATATATATATATATATTTGATGTCTTACCATTAGTGTTTGCCGGGCTTTATTTTTATTTTTGTTAATGCTGCATACGAGTATAATCAATTTATTGGCTATGGCTGGTTAGCTTCAGTTAATTAAGTGTCCCTTTTGTTCACTCAGGGCTTCACATGCTGTGAGGATGGCGAAAGAACTCATCGTAAAAACCGAAGACAAGAATTTGAACGATGCCGAGGATAGCAGTAGCTCCCACAATACCTTCTCTAGCTTGCCTCATCAAGAACATGACCAGTCAGCAAAGACCTCTATCAGTATAGCGAGCTTTCCCCAGGGAAATGTCAGTGCTAGTTCTGAAGATATGCCTATTTTTCCGAATGTTCCAGCAATCGATAAACCAGAGACCGATATCTCCACAACACAGCTAGAGTCGAACAAATCAGAGAAAAAAGACACACAAGCTGTGGATACTTTTGATAGAGAAGCCATTGGCCAATTGCCCCTCACTACATCTGGCAGTAACAAATTCACTTTTCCCGATGCTAAAAACAGACCAAATCACCAAAACGATTCACAAAGTTCTTTGTCTCTGACAATACCCGAATCCCCGATTTCATCCGAGAGATCTAATCTCAAGATCTCTCCCCCCACACCATCACCTGCTCTGGCATTGACATCCTGGCTCGGGGGTTCTACCCGTAATGACCCCAAAACCCAACCAGCTTCAACTCCTCAGTCCTTGGATTCATTTATATCCATGAGTGAAGCTGCTGATCCCTCATCTGATGTGAAGTCTGCTTCACAGTCTCAATCTGCCTCGAACACTCTGTTGGAGATTAGTGCGAAGCTTCTTCTCGAGGTGGATGACTGTGGCTATGGAGGCGGCCCATGTTCTGCTGGTGCAGCGGCAATCCTAGATTTAGTAGCCGAAGTTCTGTCCGGAATCCTCACCGAGCAGATGAAAGCCACTCCGATTGTGGAGGCCGTGTTAGAAAGTGTGCCTCTGCATGCCGATTCCGAATCTGTTCTAGTTTTTCAGGGACTGTGCCTCACCAGATTAATGAACTTCCTCGAGAGGCGCCTGTTGCGGGACGATGAAGAAGACGAGAAGAAATTAGATAAAAGCCGATGGTCAATGAACTTAGATGCACTGTCCTGGATAATAGTCGATCGTGTCTACATGGGAGCTTTTCCCCAGCCAGCTGGCGTGTTGAAGACCCTGGAGTTCTTGTTATCCATGTTGCAGTTGGCTAATAAAGATGGCCGGGTCGAGGAAGCAGCCCCGGCGGGGAAGGGACTGCTTTCTATCGGGAGAGGGAGCAGACAGCTCGATACTTACATACACGCTCTTTTTAAGAACACGAATCGCATGATATTGTACTGTTTCCTCCCGATGTTTTTGTTCACTATAGGGGAAGATGACCTCCTTTCTCATCTGGGATTGCTCGGTGAGCCTCGGAAAAGAGTGTCTCTTCACTCTTCCCCGGAAGAAGAGGGCAACGATATCTTCACAGTGCTACAGTTGCTGGTGGCTCACAGGCGGATTGTATTCTGCCCGAGTAATCTCGAGACGGATCTGAACTGTTGCCTCTGCATAAACTTGATTTCTCTCCTACACGACCACCGACAGAATGTACAGAATACAGCTGTCGATATTCTGAAGTATCTCCTGGTCCATCGGAGGTCTGCACTCGAGGAGTTTCTCGTATCTAAACCAAACCAGGGGCCTTCGTTGAATGTTTTACACGGTGGTTTCGATAAGCTCCTGACTGGAAATCTATCTGATTTTTTCGAATGGCTACACCGTTCGGAGTCGGTCGTGAAGAAGGTGTTGGAGCAGTGTGCCTCGATTATGTGGGTACAGTACATTGCAGGGTCTGCGAAATTTCCGGGAGTGAGGATAAAGGGAATGGATAGTCGTCGTAAGAGAGAGATGGGGAGAAAATCAAGGGACAGCTCGAAATTGGACCAGAGGCATTGGGAGCAGGTGAACGAAAGGAGATTTGCCCTCGAAATGGTTCGTGACCATATGGCTACCGAATTACGCGTCATTCGTCAGGATAAGTACGGGTGGGTCCTCCATGCGGAGAGCGAGTGGCAGACTCATCTCCAGCAACTTATACACGAGCGTGGAATATTCCCGATCGCGAGATCCGCGATGAACCAGGAGGAGCCCGAGTGGCATCTTTGCCCCATTGAGGGCCCATATAGGATGCGGAAAAAGCTCGAGCGGTGCAAGCTGAAGATAGACACTATCCAGACTGTACCGGATGGGCATTTTCTATTGGGTGAATCAGATCTGTCCAAGGAGAAAACGGAAAATGAAGACGACCCTGCATGTGATGGCGAATCAGATGGCTTTTTCAATTTTTTGACTGCCAAGCCCAAGGATGAATCATTTAGTGGTGAATTGTTTGATGAGTCCACTATCAGAGAATCGGATGATGCTCGGGATGTAGCTTTTTCTGGGGTTGGGTGGAATGATGATCGGGAGAGTAGCATAAACGAAGCCAGTCTATATTCTGCTACTGAATTTGGTGTTAAGTCCAGTGCTCCTTCCACTCTTAGACCAGAGAGTATACTGGGGAAGTCTGAGATAGGATCTCCAGCACAATCGTCTTCCTTAAGAATCGATGAAGTTAGAGTTTCAGAGGAGAAGTCCGATAAAGAACTGAACGATAATGGTGAGTATCTGATCAGGCCTTATCTGGAACCTCTCGAAAAGATCAAGTTTAAGTACAACTGTGAAAGGGTTGTCGGCCTTGACAAACACGACGGGATATTTCTGATTGGAGAACTGTCATTGTATGTGATCGAGAACTTTTACATCGATGAATCTGGCTGTATATGCGAAAAAGAGAGTGAAGATGAACTATCCATCATTGATCAGGCGTTGGGCGTGAAGAAAGATTTTTCCTGTAGCATGATTGATTCACAATCCAAATCGACTTCATCGTGGGGTGCTACATCGAAGGCATATTCCGGGGGTAGGGCATGGGCATACAATGGTGGTGCCTGGGGCAAGGAAAAAGTGGGGAGCAGTGGTAATGTGCCTCATCTTTGGCGTATGTGGAAGCTTGATAGTGTGCATGAGCTTCTGAGGCGTGATTATCAGCTTCGCCCAGTTGCAATCGAACTTTTCAGTATGGATGGTTGCAATGACCTGCTAGTTTTCCACAAAAAGGAGAGAGAAGAAGTATTCAAGAATTTGGTGGCCATGAATCTTCCCAGAAATAGCATGTAAGTGGTCGAGTTCTTCCTGGATATGGTTTCGTTAATTTTTTTTTTTTGAAAAAAAAAAATTTGTGGATTTATATTCAACGTCTCTTTTATACTCTTACAGTTTAGATGCAACAATATCCGGGTCGACCAAACAAGACGTCAATGAAGGCAGCCGTCTTTTCAAGGTCATGGCTAAATCATTCTCCAAGAGATGGCAAAATGGAGAGATCAGCAACTTTCAGTATATTATGCATCTCAACACCCTGGCGGGTCGTGGATATAGTGATCTGACACAGTACCCAGTTTTTCCGTGGGTCCTTGCAGACTATGAAAGTGAGAATCTCGATTTGTCAGATCCAAAAACATTCCGGAAACTCGAAAAACCAATGGGCTGTCAGACACCTGAAGGAGAAGAGGAGTTCCAGAAGAGGTCAGCACCTCTCTTGTTCACTTACTAATATATACGAATAACCATATATGTGAAATTAAATGTAAATATTTTTTCCTTAGATATGAGAGCTGGGATGATCCAGAAGTTCCGAAATTCCATTACGGTTCTCATTATTCAAGTGCTGGAATCGTTCTCTTCTATCTCTTGCGCTTGCCTCCCTTCAGTACCGAGAACCAAAAGCTGCAGGGTGGTCAGTTTGACCACGCAGACCGTCTTTTCAACAGCGTTCGTGATACTTGGCTGAGTGCTGCTGGTAGAGGCAACACTTCAGATGTCAAGGAGCTGATTCCAGAGTTCTTCTATATGCCAGAATTCTTTGAAAACCGTTTCAATCTCGACTTGGGCGAAAAGCAATCTGGCGAGAAGGTTTTCTCAAGTCCTGTAAATATTTTTTCTACATTTATATGCGTTCGTGCTAATTACCGAATGTCCTTTTTGCGTCAGGTTGGTGACGTCGTCTTGCCTCCATGGGCTAAGGGCAGTCCTCGGGAATTCATCAAGAAGCATCGGGAAGCATTGGAGTCTGATTATGTTTCCGAGCATCTCCATCATTGGATAGACCTCATTTTCGGATACAAACAGAGAGGGAAGGTGAGTACACCCTCGACTTTCTTGTTCCGAACATCTATTTCATTAATTCATTTATTTTAACTTTTTTTTTTCTCGATTTTCATAATCCACCAGGCAGCCGAAGAAGCCGTGAACGTTTTCTACCACTACACTTACGAAGGCAGCGTTGACATCGACTCTGTAACCGACCCTTCCATGAAAGCCTCGATCCTCGCCCAAATCAACCACTTCGGCCAGACCCCTAAACAGCTATTCCCCAAACCCCACGTCAAACGGCGCACAGACCGCAAAACCCTCCCTCACCCCCTCCGCCACTCTTCCCTCCTCGTCCCCCACGAAGCTCGTAAAACCCATTCCCCTATCTCCCAAATCGTCTTTCTCCCCGCAGACAAGATCCTCCTTGCTGGGCCCACCAGCCTCCTCAAGCCTCGTACCTTCACCAAATACGTCTCGTGGGGGTTCCCCGACCGGACCCTCCGCCTCGTCTCCTACGAATCCGACCGCCTCATCTCCACCCACGAGAGCCTCCATGGAGGCAACCAAATACAGTGCGCTGGAGCCTCCCACGACGGCCAGACCCTCGTCACTGGAGCCGACGACGGCCTCGTCTGCGTCTGGCGGTTCACCTCTGGCGGGCCAAGCCACCGCGCCGCCGCCTCCTCCAATCAGCAGCTCCGCCTCGAGCGGGCTCTCTGTGGCCACACGGGACGAGTCACGTGCCTCCACGTCAGCCAGCCGTACATGATGGTTGTGAGCGGGTCGGACGACTGCACGGTCATCGTCTGGGATCTGAGCTCGCTCGCGTTCGTCCGCCAGTTGCCGGAGTTTCCGGCCCCCGTCTCGGCAGTTTACGTGAATGACCTCACGGGGGAAGTCGTGACGGCCGCAGGAGTAATGCTCGCTGTCTGGAGCATCAACGGGGACTGTCTGGCGGCAGTCAACACGTCACAGCTGCCGTCGGATTTCATTCTCTCGCTCACCGGATGCACGTTTTCGGACTGGATGGATGCCGACTGGTACGTGTCGGGTCACCAGAGTGGGGCCGTGAAGGTTTGGAGGATGGTGCACCACACGTCATCGGGTGAGGTGGGGGGTAGCCCGTCGGCCGGGCTCGGGCTCGGGGGAAAAGTGCCCGAGTACAGGCTGGTGCTGCATAAGGTGCTCAAGGCGCATAAGTTCCCGGTTACAGCTATACATCTGTCGAGCGACCTGAAGCAGCTGCTGAGTGGGGATTCGGGCGGGCACCTCATCTCGTGGACGCTGCCCGACGAGAGCTTGAGGGCGGTTTCGATGAACCAGGGGTAAATCTGTCGAAAAACGAGTCGTATGTGGCGCGGCCTTGATACGATGCAATGGGTGTATAAAACGAATCGGGGGAGCTGAGACCCGCCGTGTTTTGGGGGTGTGAGTGTAGTTAGGTTACTAAAGATGGCGCGGTGTGTGTACACTAAAAAGGGGTTGTATAGAAGGAAAAAAGCTTTTGTTTTGTGCCTGGAAATGAATGAGAAACTTGTGAGTGAGTGAGTGAGTGAGATGTTTTTGGGCATTAGCTTTGGCTCCACATTTGTTTTTGTTCTTTTTCCTTGTGAATGTAAAACAAACAGTTTGGGGATTGTGTATATTAATTATTCTACTTCAACACTTATGGGGGTTTAAAAGAATTCACACCCCCTTTTTTGTTCCTCCTTAGTTTTCTGATATAATTGCCTTAAATGTTGAATGAAAGATATTGGAGGTGGAAAAAAAATATGTATTTTAGACAACTATTGTATGCTTAATTTGAGGTTAAAAATTGAAGAAAAAAATAATATTCCATTGCCGGGAATTGAACCCGGGTCTCCTGGGTGAAAGCCAGATATCCTAACCACTGGACGACAACGGAAGTTATGACTGATTGTAAATAATAAATTTACTTTTTTATTTGCAACTCAACACTGGCACTTATGCTATATTCGTCGTCTTCCCATGCAGAAAGCACGGATATGGCGACGCTAATCCAACCCACAAACTTCATCTCCGCCCCACCTTCAAAACCCCAACTTCTCAAGACCCCATGTATACAAACCCACTCAAAATCATCCCTTTCATCACTCACACACAAAGTATCTCTCAGCAGCTTCAACAAGTCTCTGGATGAAGCTTATGCCTCGGCTCTCGATCACTGTGCCGCCCAAAGCTCATTATCATTTGGGAAGCAAATCCACACCCACGTCATAAAGCGTAACAACACCCGCGACTTGGATTTTCTGCGCACTAAGCTCGTGCTCATGTACGGTAAATGCGGGTCGTTGTTGGAAGCCCGGCACGTGTTCGATGAAATGGCGGAGAGAAGTATTTTCACCTATAATGCCATGCTCGGTGCTTATATCTCGAATGGGGAGCCTATGAAAGCAATCAAATTGTATGCTGAGTTGAGGTTCTTGGGTATCCGTCCGGATGCCCATACTTGTAGCTGCGTGTTGAAGGCGTGTTCGCAAGTCGAGGATATACGCTGTGGGAAAGAGATTCATGGGTACGTGGTAAAATCTGGATTTTTAGGCAACGGAGTTGTTGTGAACTCGCTGGTGGGCGTTTATGCACAGTGTGGCGATTTGAAAGCGGCCGAGCTGATGTTCGGTGGGGGAATGAGATCGGGAGATGTAGTTTTGTGGAACTTGATGATTTCTGCTTATTTTGAAAGTGGTATGGCAAGAGAAGCTTGGAAGGCTTTTGTAGAAATGCAGAATGCTGGTGTCACCCCATCCACGTATACGTTTGTTGCTGTTCTTCAGGCCTGTGAGGACCTTTTGTCCGGGATGCAAACTCATGCTGTCGGGATAAAATTAGCTCTCTGTTTCGACCGATATGTTGGTAATGCTTTTCTCGTCATGTACTCCAAATTCGGCAGAGTAGATGAGGCGGCAAGAGTTTTTTATGGTATTGCTCATAAGGACAACTTTTCTTGGAACTCGATGTTGGATGCTTACGTGGAAAACGGGCTTTACGACGAATCGCTCGTTTTTTTCCGTGAGATGGTTAGATCGGGCGTGGGACCCGACCAAGTTTCTGTCATCGGTGTGCTCTCAGCTTGTGGAAAATCGAGAAATATTTTAAACGGAATGGAAACTCACGCTTTCGCTCTGAAAAACAGGATGGAATCGGGACTTGAAGTGGGCAACACAATCACGGACATGTATGCAAAGTGCCGTAACACAGGTTATATGGAGACCTCTTTTTCAAGAATTACCGGAAAAGATTACATTTCGTGGACGACAGTCATATCCGGTTACATTCAGAACTTTCATTACACAAAAGGTGTGCAATTGTTAAGGGATGCTCTGCTAGAAGGGATTCGTGTCGATAAAACAATGCTCGGGATTGTTCTCCTAGCTTGTCGGGGCCTGAAATGTGTCTCGCAAGCAAAAGAGATTCATGGCTACGTAGTGAGAAACAATAATTTAACCGATATTGTGCTTCAAAACACTATTGTCGACATATATGGACAGTGCGAACAAGTGGGGTACGCTCGAAACGTATTTAAACTAATAGAAAACAAAAATGCCATTTCTTGGACGAGCATGATCGATTGTCATGTCCATAACGGACTCGCACACGAGGCTCTCCGAGTTTCTACTCAAATGGTGAAATCGGGCGTCGAGCTAGACCCGGTTGCACTTTTGTGTATTCTCTCAGCCATCACGAATTTATCGGCTTTAAGGAAAGGCAAAGAGATTCACGGCTTCTTGATTAGAAAATGCCTGCACTTATGGGAATCCATCCCGAGCTCGCTCGTGGATATGTACGCCAGCTGTGGTGCTGTGGATAGCTCGCAAAAGGTTTTCGATTCTGTCGAGGATGATAAAGATTTGGTTTTGTGGACGAGCATGATTAATGCGCACGGATTGCACGGCCAGGGCACGAAAGCCATCGAATTATTCGAAAATATGGAGGGAAAAAAAAGCGTTCGTCCCCCCGATCACATCGTCTTTCTTGCCCTTCTCCACGCGTGCAGCCACTCGTCATTAGTCGACGAAGGAAAAAAAATCTTTTTCGACACCATGCAAAATCGATACAATTTGGAACCGTGGCCCGAACACCATGCGTGCCTAGTCGATCTCCTCGGCCGCGCGAATCGTCTGGAGGAAGCTATCGAACTTGTCAAAACCATGAAACCGGGACCCACAGCAGCTGTGTGGTGCGCCCTCCTAGGCGCTTGCAGAACTCATTCGAACATGGAAATAGGCGAAATAGCCGCGAGAGAGCTTCTCGAGCTGGAGCCCGAAAACCCGGGAAACTACGTGCTCGTATCCAACTTATATGCCTCGGCTGGTAAATGGGACGAGGTTGAACGAGTTCGAACTATAATGAAGGCCAAGGGCTTGAAAAAGGACCCGGGCTGCAGTTGGATCGAGATTAAGAACGAGGTTCACACGTTTTTTACAGGGGACAGGTGTCATCCGAGGTCTGACGAGATATATGGGAAGCTTGATGAGATTGTGGAGAGATTAGAGAGTGTCGGGGGTTACAGAGCTGAGACGAGCCATGTGTTGCATGACGTGGAGGAGGATGAGAAGAAAAGGATGCTGTATGGGCATAGTGAGCGGCTCGCTTTGGCTTACGGTTTGCTGAGTAGTAGTACCGGGCGAGGAGTGCCGATTAGGGTCTCGAAGAACTTACGAGTGTGTCGGGACTGTCACGATTTTACGAAGCTGGTTTCGAAAGTTTTCGAGCGGGAAATTGTGGTGAGGGATGCCAACAGGTTTCATCACTTCAAGGATGGTGTTTGCTCCTGTGGGGATTTCTGGTGATTTGGTTAAATTATTATTATTATTATTATTATTATTATTATTATTATTATTATTATTATTATTATTATTATTATTATTATTATTTGTTTTGGTGATGAACTTGTGATCTAATAGGGGGGGTTTGTGTATTTGTGAGATATTAATGTGATAATGAGTCCATTGAAATATTAATCCATGAGTCTGTATGTATAATGACATGATATGAATGTTATATCCACAGTTATGATTATTTGAGGACTTCGCAGATACTTTTCTCTCATTTTCTTCCTCATTTTTATGAGAAAACAACTTACATATTTATATAGGTAAATGTAATTATATTTTTTATTTTATATCAATAGGATGCAAAACCAATATAGTCAAAGTATGATTAACTTGATATACGTATAAAAAAAATTAAAATATATTGATATTTAAAGTTGATAAGATTTTTATAATTTCGAAAGTAGAAAGAACTGAAATATTTATCATTCGATTCCTTTCCTTTCCTTTCCCAATTTCTGCCAAACCCTTCCTTTCAAAATCCGATCGCTCGCCTTCCTCCGCGACGACTTAGCTCGGCCAGAGGTCGTCCTTGACCGCCTAGCCCACTCCCGGTGCAGCGTGCTTTCGATGTGTGGATTGCTTGGGGTACGGTGGTCCGGTCTGTAGTCGCTGATGGGGTCTCGATGGGAGGTGTTGATTCCGCGTTCGGCTGACGATTGGAGGCACTTTTTTCGATTGCCGGCGGTGCTTTGGTTCGCGGTGGTTTGCACTTCTTTGGGTCCTCCTTTGTGGCTGCTGAGCTGTGGCTCTCCGGCGGGGTTTTCACAGGTTCGGTTGGAGATTTGTTGTGGTATTCGACAATTTGTGGTGGTGTCGGGGGTGCGGGAGCCGATGAGTCCCGCCCCGATTGCTTGCCGGTCTAGTGCGGCAGACGGGGTTGAGGGCCCGGACCACTCACGCTTTTCCTCGGTCGGCTAGTGGTGTTAGGCGGCGGGGGATCGGCCCTATCGAGTTTGGCTAGTGGTTAGACGAGTTCGGTGGGGTTGGCGTGAGGACTGGTTGGGGCTATCTCGGTTAGAGATGGATCGATTCGGGATTGTCTCGGGGGTTGAGGGCACCTGCTCTATAGGCTGTATAGGCTTCCGTGCAGTTTCGATAGCGGTTATCGGGCTCGAGGTTGTCTTTATGTCGATCGTTCATTGTTGATTGAGCTTAGTTCGGTTTGCAGGGGAAGGGCTCCATGTCGTTTATTGTTGTTTATTTTCTGTTTTTCTTTGTTGTGTGATCGTAGTGTTTGTGTTGGTGTGGTCTATGTGTTTTTTGTTCGGGCCGTTGGCCTCAATTTGGCTCGAGTGTAGTATTTATTCTTTTGTTGAGAGTTTACACTCTGGTATTACCCTGTTGGGGTCTTTTTATTTATGTTTTTTCGTTGTGTTTCTAGTTTGATGTTGGTGTCGTAATGTGTTGGTCATTCTAGCTTTGCTAGTTGGTATTCCGTCTAGGTTACATTAGTTGTGTGTGTAACCTTCCATTTCCCCGATCGGGTTCGTCTGTTTACATTGTCTTTTTGTCCTTTTGATGAGTATAGCCGTTTGAAAAAAAAAAAAAGTAGAAAGAAGAATACAAAAAATTGATATTTTAATTTCCAAAAATAAGAAGTGGATTTAAACAAATCTACCCATTATCCACAAGGCACATCACTGGATACACAGTATATTAAGTTGAAAATGATTGACACGAAATTACACCACAACAGTATTATATTACAAAAACCAATATTAAAGAATGGATGAGCCCTGCTGTAGAATACTGGGTCTTGTCTGTGTCCTTTGGCTTAAAACAAACGGAAAATACTACGGTCTACGGTCCCGTTATTGAACCATTCCTTCAGGATTTGTAACCGTTTAATCATCATGTAACCGTCGGGATAGTTGATCTAACGGTTAATTACGAACCCGACGGAATGGTTCCGTAATGGGACCGTAGCATCTCCTAAAACTTAAAAGAGAGATTTTAGCATATTAAAGACAGTTTTCTGTACTCTTTCTGTCTTTTACCTACCTTCTGCTTACACTTCTTTAAAACCTGACATCTCTCTTTCTTTGTTTCTTTTTTCTCAGCCCTTTGTTTTTTAGTAGGCTTATGGATTATGTAACTCAATATTAATTGTAGAACTGAAGGAGCCAATTTTCAAAGAGACCTCTTCACACCTTACATTTTTAAGATGAGAGCTCATAATTTGTGGTTCAAATATGAGACTAATATTTTCCATATACATGAATTAAACATTTCATAATATACAGTATATGTGGGCAAATATAATTATTTATTTGGGCTTCTTTTTTCTCTTCACTCATACAGCTTTGTCCAAATGTGAGTAAAGTAGGATTACATTACTTAATCCAGTAGTCTAACATTAAATTGTTATCACTATTTCTTACAACACAACCCAATATTGATTTTATTATCCTGTTGGGGTCCGACACTCAAGTATTACCCTATCGGGGTCTCTGTGTATTACCCTGTTGGGGTATCTGTGCGGTGTTGTATTTTGTGTTGTTTTTTTATTACCCTGTTGGGGTCGGATCTAGGCGGTCGGATCTGGGAGATCATAGGACCTGTCCTCTTTTTTTTATTCAGCTGTTGGCTACTGTGTATTCAACCGTTGGCTGCTGTGTATTCGCATATTTGTGCTTTTTGATTTATAGTACATCTATAGTTTCGAAAAAAAAAAACCCCAATATTGATGGCTAATTAATGAAATTCTAGCTATAAGCTATATAAGGCCTAGCTATAGAAAAAAAATGCAGCTTTTTGTTAGGAAATATTTTATTTCCTATGTATAATCTAATTATGGGCAACATATTAAATACAATTATATTATATTAGCTATTCAATTAATTAATGGACTCAATTAAGTGATCTAAATTAAGTAGAGTTCATGGGCTACATAAATTGATATGGACTTAATGAGTGGATACCTAATATTACTAGGGTTAGGTGATAATGGGTGGCCTACCCTATTAGTATATATAGACCCTCTTGGTTATGGTCCCCAATACACTAAATCAAACACAGTTTTCTTTTCTCCCCATCGGAATTGAAGACGACGGTCCCATCTGAGGAATAAGGCGATTTAGTTGAGGAAGACCATAATACCAGTTGATCCAATTAATCAATCGAGTTCGTGTTCCGCAAAAGAGACTCAATGGATCCAGATATTTCTAATAATCTTTCAGATCTAGAGCGATGTAGATTTTCCTAGAATTAAAACACATATTCTAGGATAATTGTTATTGAATTTATATTATGTGATTATAAATTCCTACAAGTGGTATCAGAGCAGTCATCGACTGCTAGATCTGGATTATTTGTATACTATGTATCTACGCTGCTAGCTGTTGTTCCGATTTATTGAATTAAAGTAAAAGTTAGTGTTTGGCTTGAATCTTACATCAACATTCATGCCCTGTTTTTGTGGAATTGTATTTCGTGTCTTTTGATAAATTGACAGAAAATTTATGGGGGCATAATCATTACGCCAATAAAAAAAAAAAAAAAAATCCTGGACAAGTTTATGTATGTTGCTTTCATGGATTAATTTTGGGCCACACTTTTACATTACTTGTGAGTCAGTTTAGTAATTTAACAGTTCACTTTAGTAATTGAAGTTGAGTTTATTGCTAAATTGTTTGATATGGTAATATATGTCTTTACTAGATGATGCTATGTTGTTGAATGTTTTAAAAGAATGAAAGTCCAAATTTGTTTTCTTGGACTTGATTAAATAAAAGTCTAATTCGGTTTATAGGCTTTTATTTGAATTGAATTGGTGAGACTATTATGTCGTTGAATTAAGCTAAACAATTTTATGTTTGCTCAATTAGTCTTGTAATTTATAATTTAATCAATCAAAACATCATGCTGCCATAGCAGCCTCTGTGTGTGGAGAGCGATTTTATTAAAGTTACATAGATGTCGTATGTTATTATTTATGCGTTCTGTGATCAGCCCATAGGTAGACACAGTTTGGCCAAGTAATTACACACATGTGATGATAAGTATGTGATAATTTACGGTATTTTCATGTGAACATTAGTCGGTCCATAGATAGACTTTTGTTTGACAGAACTTATTATCAATGCTTGA